CCAGTAGATGGAATGTCATCGGTGTCTGTACGACCACGTTTGAATTCGGAATACCAATAACAAATGCTTCTTTTTGATGGAGCAGAGTCCGAATAATGTTTTTCAAGCCATTCCTGGCATTGAACAGTATTTTTTTTTCATTAAAAAACAATGATAAATCAGCACACGGAATTGCTTTGAATACATTTTTTTTTTTTAAAACTCAAAAGTAGCTTCACTTAAAGCACTGTAACTTGTAAACAAATGGTCGGATTAACATATGATTTTGACAGTAAGCCTAAAAAGGTTGCCACTTTCGAAAAAAAATATTTATTTAGTATTAGTGCCGCCATCTATGTGTCAGTCACACAAATTATTGAACGAAGTGTTATGTACTCAATATATGGTATAGTAATTCTTACTGCTTATATTTTATGTATTTTAAGGTGCTACGACTCTTAAAGTGGTGTTATTAACAGGAAGCGAACAAACTGTAGTTAATCCAAAAATAGAATTTTTGCTTAACTAATTTTAATTAAAATTTTATACGGAACCTTAACTGCCAATATTTCAAACTTCTGCGAAATTTAGTTATCAGTAGATTTGTTTTTCTTTTTTTTTGTCATTTATATGTACTTATAAGTAGTAAAGACTTGTATTTATTGTCGATTAGATAAAATTATAAGACATGTGTCTGACATCTTCTTCCCTACCTTTCTTTAATATCTTGTGAAAAAAAATACTCCAGAGTTTATTTTTTCCACTCATCTAAAAAAATGTGATTGATATTTTTACGTTAAAAGCAATCGAATCAGTTGCAACTTTCGAATAGGTTATTTCGATATCTGAATAAATAAAAATGTACACGTGTTAAAGAGCAATTTTGTGCTTTTTATAAAAAAAAATATAATATTATTATTTGATCGATGGTCGTTCGATAAAACATATAAGTATATATTAAATATTATTCATATTAATCAAATAATAATTCATCAACTTGAATAAATTGTGAAGAAAAATCATCTCTGATTGTTTAATATATATGGTATAATAGCAGGCTCGAACTCGCAATATATTATCCTATACATTGCCGTAGTTTATCCACGCATTTCACAACAAGGGAAGATTGAGCTAAATGAAATGCTATTCCAAATAAATACATCGAGATATATACAAGATATTCTACTAGAAACTCAATATTAAATTGTTGTTCTGGTCAACGGATCATTGCGTTTTTTTTTTGTTTTTGGTAGAAACTGTTGCAATCCATCTAATTTTCCATAAATTTAGTCCAAAACTTGAGTAGCCTTGCCCAAAGTCTTTATTATCAGTTAACTAAAGATTAGAGCCAATAGCATTTATCAATTTATCTATGACAAATAATGATTAAAGTTTGGAAACTATTTAAGGTCCCTTCACATTTTTTATATCTGTCTCAAAAATTTAGAATATGCTTTGCATTGAAATATGAATAAATATTACTGCTCAAGGATAAACCTCAGGGACGGATAGTGTTACAATTTTTTTTTTCATGCAGCTGAATTGGTATATTTATACTATAAATATTCAGCACAAGTCTACACTAATATAGTCTTTGGTACACTAATGTATCCTGTGGTATACATATATATAAGTTTAATGAATATTATCTCGTGTTTTGGTTATGTTTGTGTTTTTGTATATAAAATCGTTATATAAAAGTTTTGTACAGTAGTTATATTTTTTAATTGCACTTTACGTCTAACTGTGTCACTCATTGAGTTAATCAACTCAAGTATTCTTAAATACTTTGACGTTCTATTTTCTAATTGTAAGCTTTATTAAACTATTTACACAATTGTTTGACGCTTGAAGCGAAAACTTATTCGTATTTTGGCCAGCAAAAATTGTATGGCTATCGATAATGATAGTCTGCTTAATGGCGAACAAAATTTCAAGCGGCAAGCTCCCATTAGTGTAAATAGATCCTATTGCATATATACACATGGCCAATAAAGTCTGCGTACACCTTACGAATTTTGATATGTGATAAAGAAACAAAACATAAATAAATATTTTAAATTAAAATTTTTACATACGAGGGCGGTTTGATAAGTCAGTGACTTATTGAATAAAACAAATTTTTTTCGGAAAATAAACATTTTAGTTTTCTACATAATCACCTTTTAACTCGATACATTTAGTTCAGCGATTTTCTAATTTTCTTATTCCCTCCAAATAATAGGTTTTCTCAAAGTTCTCAAAATACGCGTTTGTTTCGGGAATGACTTCTTCATTCGACTCAAATTTCTTACCGCCCAGCTATTTATTTAGGTTTGGAAACAGAAAATAGTCGTTGGGGGCTAAATCTAGAGAATATGCCGGATGGGGTAGCAGTTCGTATCCCAATTCGTGGATTTTGGCCATCGTGACAAGACAAGTGTGCAAACGTGCATTGTCTTGATGGAACAGCACTTTTTTCTTCGCTAAATGCGGCCGTTTTTGCTTCAAATCAACGTCGAATCTGTTCAAAAGCTTTGAATAATATTCGCCGGTGATCGTTTTACCTTTCTCGAGGTAATCGATGTGAATGACAGCGTTTGCATCCCAAAAAACTGTGACCATGACCTTGTTGACTGACAGACTCTGTTTGGCCTTCTTTGGCTCACGTTCACCCCTAGCAACCCACTGTTTCGATTGTTCCTTGGTCTCTGGCGTGTTGTGATGGATCCATGTTACGTCCACAGTAACAAAACGGCGCAAAAATTCGTTCGGATTACGGCTGAATATCGCTAAACACTCTTTCGAAGTGGTCACACGATTGCGCTTATGGTCGAGTGTAAGCAATCGAGGCACCCGTCTCACGGAGAGTTTTTTCATGTCCAAATATACGTGTAAAATATGATGTACCTTCAGTTGAGATACCTAACATACAGCATGAGCCAACTCACGCACTTATTCTCCGATCATCCAGTATCATTTCATGGATTTTATCGACGATTTCCAGCGTGATTACTTCTTTTGGGCGATCAGAACGTTCGGCGTCACTAGTGCTGGTAGGGCCACAACGGAACTCTGTAAACCACTTCTTAACCATTGAAATTGATGGTGCCGAGTGCCCGTAGTATTTATCAAGTCTTTCCTTAGTTTCAGTGATGGATTTTTTACGTAAAATGCTTAATCAGCACACGAAATTCACTTTTTTCCATTTTCGTAAAAATTCACGAGGTTGTCTGCTTTGAACGGTTATCAAACACCAACTGAACGACGTAGCTTGCTCAAAATTAGAAAGTTGCCCACTGGTAGATTACAGCTGACGGCAGCACTGTTGCATTTGGAGTAACTGTGCGGGAAATTCAAAAAGTCACTGACTTATCAAACCGCCCTCGAAAATTTATTCTTTGAAATCTTAAGTTTAAATAGCAAAAGACAAAAATTGTATTCGTTTGTTCATGCTTGAGATAATGGGATAAAAGTGTCCCTGCATGTAAATATATGACCCATAAAGTCTGCGCACAGTTATAAAAAAGCTAATAAAATCGATAGAAATATTAAAAATAAGGCTAAATTTAATACTTTGTTGGGTAGCCACGCTGTTTTAGAACTTAACTTAATCTGTTTAGCATGAAATTAACCAACTTCTGAGTTTCTTCAGCAGTAATTTTCGCCCATTCTGCTTGCATTGCAATCCACAAAGCCTCTTTACTTGTTATCACATGCTGACGAATTCTTTTTTCCAATAAATCCCAAAGATGCTCAATGGGATTGTGATTAGGTGATTGTGAAGGCGTTTTAAGCTGTCTTAGAACGTTGTACAAAGGCCAAAGTTGAACATTCTCCGCTGTGTGTTTTGAATCATTGTCCTATTGGAACCAAAATGTCGTGAATAAGCCCAAATTATCTGTATTTTGTTTCAAATTTCTTTTTATTTATTTTATACTGTTTAAATAGCCCCATTTATTCATTGTCGATTCTATAAATTACAACTGGCCTACACTGTCAGCCACTATGCACCCCATACCATAACTCCACCACCGCCGTGTTTGACTGTACCAACAAGATTTTGTTTCTCTAGCGACGCTCCTGATTTCCGCCACACAATTTGCGAACTTTTATACCAAAGATGCAGTAGTTGTTTTCGTCTGAAAATATCACTTGTTTCCAGAACTCCAGAAGTTTATTTATGTATTTCTTTGCAAATTTAACGCGCTTTTGTATGTTTACAAGTGAAATATACGGTTCCTTTCTCGAGACTCTACCACGATATCCATCTTTATATAATATTTTTCTAGCAGTCTCCGCACAAATACTTTTTTTAAATGATTGATTTACATATTTCACAATTTTCGAAAAAGAAATACGAGGGGTAATATTTATCATATGGACTATTTTTCGCTTTTCTCTTGCTGATACAACTTTTGGACGCCCAGGACGCGGTTTAAATGTTCAAATTCCGTTTTTTTTGAAGTTGTCCACTATGCGTTGGACTGATGAATGCGTTGTTTCAATAGTTTCACCAATTTTTCGAAAACTTTTTCCATCTTTCCATAGTTTAATAATTATTTTTCTTTCGTGCACACTGATTTCTCTTCCCCTTGATTCCATACTTTAAAATAGTTACTAGTTAAAAATTAATTGATCACTAGCTCGCTAAATGTTCAATTCACTAAATGTCACTAAATATTCAATGCTATATAATAACAAATGAGCAAAAATAAGAACAAACTGCTTAAAAATTAACGGTATTATTTAAACAAACAAACTGTACGCAGACTTTATGGGTTCTATATTTACATGCAGGGACACTTTTATCCCGTTTTCTCAAGAATGAACAAACGAATACAATTTTTGTCTTTTGCAATTTTAACTTAAGATTTCAAAGAATAAATATAAAATATTTATTTATGTTGTGTTTCTATATCACATATCAAAATTCGTAAGGTGTACGCAGACTTTATTGGCTATGTGTACGTACATTTCAAAAATTTGGTATTATATTATTTTATTAACAAAACTTCTAAAAAATTTCTTTTTTTTTACAGCAACGGATAAAAGTTCTGTCAAATCAAAAGTTCTAGAAAAGAAGTCATCACAACAATCTCCCAGTGTCATTGTAAAAACAAACCCCAGTGAAGAAAACAAATCTAAAAATGTAGCTGATGCAAATGATAATAGTGAGGCACTTCCACCGTCTGTTGTCATGGCTATAAAACGTACCGGGGCCGTCCCAGAATCAGCTGTTGCCATAACTACAAAGACAAATGCAGTTACAAATAACAAGTCAAAAATATCACCAAAAACAAATTCAACTACAGTCAGAGCAGCTGTCGATCCTACTCAAGGCATACCAACTGAACAAATATACGAGCACGGCCATATAAACGAAGAAATTGATATTGAAAAGATTTGCCCGAATGGGGGCGCTGACTTAAAACTACTAATACTCATAACGTCCGCACAAGGGCATGCCGAGGCACGTTTGGCTATTCGTCAAACATGGGGACACTATGGAACAAGGCGTGATGTATCGATTGCTTTTATGCTCGGAAGCAATACGAACGAAACTCTCAACTTAGCTTTAACTCATGAGAATTTTATATATGGCGATTTAATACGCGGTCATTTTGTAGATTCATATAACAATTTAACTTTGAAAACCATTTCTGCTTTGGAATGGGTGGATGAACATTGTTCCCGTGCCAAATATTTGCTTAAAACCGATGATGACATGTTTATAAATGTACCGAAGTTATTAGCATTTCTTGATGGTCATTCAAAGGAGAAACGTGTTATTTATGGACGTTTGGCAAAAAAATGGAAACCCATACGGAATAAGAAGTCAAAATATTATGTTTCGACGGGGCAATTTGGTGCACCTGTCTTTCCGCCGTTTAATACGGGTCCTGCCTATGTGATGACAACTGATATCGTCCATGAATTATATACACGTTCATTACATCAGGTTTATCTAAAACTTGAAGATGTATTTACGACAGGAATTGTGGCGCAGCAATTGGGTATTAAGCGCGTGCATGTGAATGAGTTCCTTAATAGGCGCATCGCATTCAATCCATGCAATATACGTAAATCAATCAGTGTACACATGATCAAGGCCAATGAACAATTTGATTTGTGGAAGAAACTACTGGACCAGACAACCAAGTGTAAATAGTATTTTAGGTTTATACATTAAATTTTAATTTTTAGTTTAAGTATTAAAAGTTTTAAATTTTATTTTAATTTTATTTAGAAAAACTACTTAATTTTTAAACACTATTGTTTTTGTAGACTTTTTGCATTATAAATGCCATTCAAATATATATACATATATATTTACAAATACTGTGGTTATATTTAAATTTAAATACAAGAAAACAAAACAAATATAAAAAATTAAATTATTAATAAAGAAACAAGTTTCATTTATTCGTCGTGAATAAATTTGTATCTTTATTTTTGTAAATTATAAAATAAGAGAATCGCATAGAAAATGTAAGTAAAAAAATATATTAATATACTCAAGTATTTAAAATGTTAATTATTGTAATTTATGCAACCAAATAAGTTTAAAAATAATATATTTCTTATATTAAATACAATGAAAATTGTTTTAATATTACAAATGAATAAGAAAACTTTATGAACTAGACGAACGAACGTTTTTCATATAAATTTTATAGTGTTACATCTATACTTGGATGGTAGATGTAAATGGTTTGTACCCCTGGTTTTTTTACTATAGTGTTGAAGTGTTATGACTAATATTTAGTAACCATCTTATTATAAAATAATGTTGGCCACATAATACGCGCTTTACACATCATCGATCGAAAGTGAAAACATCGTTTAAATGCATGCATGATTTTATTTTGTAGTATATTGCTTGTTTCTTTCTGGGGCGTCTTTAAAAAAAATGCAGACAAATTTGCTGTGTAATAGCAAGTGACGACATCGATCGCATTTTATTCAATTCAAATGATGCAGATCACAAATAAAAGTAATTGGTAACGCATCGTATTTTCCTAAAAACTAGATAGTAAAGCCACCGAGTTACTTTAAAACATAATAACTGTAAATAATTGTCTTCTTTTTTATTTTCTTTTTAACCATTTAGTGAACGAATTACTATGGCATTTGTATGGTTACTTATCTTATTTACGTATGCTTCATTCAATCGATCCACAGACTGAATGTGTGGTTATTATATAATAGTATTATAATACTTCATAAATACATAATAATTTTAATATGTTATAATGAAATTATGATATTAGGTAGTATTCTATTAAAATTCATTACCAACACTAATTGCACAAATAAATGAAACTCTTAAAAAAACACATGAAGTACTTTTTATCCGATAGCTGTTCCATTATGATTGAAAGGATCCATAAGCTTATTTAATCAAGTGCAAATACTTTAATGACAAATATTTCAAATACGAATATATAACTATAGATTGATATAGTAACTTTAGTTTAAATGCTTGATTCCACTGTTTTTTAAATATGATTCTTATTAGATACCTTAAACTAAATTAACACTACAATTTATTTTTAAAAGTTTCAACGTCTTTTAAGAAACGACTATAGCTGCGTTTCAGCAAACATGATCCGCTCAAATTTACATGCAAAAGAAAAACAATGGGGTGAACCAGCAATTGATCTGGTTCACTTTCTGGTTCAATGTGGAATGTGTGTAAAAGATAAAAGTGGAACGTGTTTTAATGCAAATGAGGTTGGCAATGCGATGCAACGGTGCAGTAAAATTATAAACAAATCTACATTTATATTTATTTATTATTGATTTTATTTATTTATTATTTATTTTATGTACTTATTTATTTAATATGTCGATATTATTTATTTCTTTGTTTAAAATAATGTTTTAACTATTACTATAATTAAAATTATTACCTTATTTATTTACGTTTTATTATTATTGAAAAAGTGTTGTTTGATAATTTATTAAAATCAATTAATTTGAAATGAAATGAAATTAAGTTGAATACATTTATTTAATTAAAACAGAACAATACATAAGGATCCAGGCTCTCCAACATAAACGTTTATAAAAAAACCATTTTCATCGCAAACTATCTGCAAGATTAAGCTATAGTCATGCTTTCTTTTGAAATAAGCCTATTTGCTATGGTGTGGTGCATTTATTTTTACATGTGTACTGTCTATGCAACCAATTACTAACGGGAATTTTTTCGAAGTTTCCACTTTTGCATTATTAGCAAGTGCGTATTTTATAAATTAGTGTCCAATTGATATACGCTTAACACTAGTTCTTTCAATTATTCTCCATACAGAAGCTCTTGGTATGCCAAAACAAATACCAAATTCGCAAAAAGTATTCATATTTGCCATATACCACAAAAATATATAAAATTCCTTCATTGCTCTCGTCCGATTGTGATCATCACGGTTATTTTGCATTTAATTATTGGAATTTATTAACAAATCTATTAAAATATGAAACATAATTAATATATAGCAATTGTATTTTTTATGTGCAAATACCAATCAAATAATCTTTAACGAAAGAATTATTGATCGTTTCCACAAAACTTCCAATATATCCATGCTGATGCACTTCATCCCTTGAGTTTAATACACTTGAACTAGTATTTAAAAAGGGAATGGAAGAGTCAGTTTCGCTTGATGATTCTAATAAAATCTGCAATTTTCATTTATTTACTATAGAATTAAATTTAAGTTTTAAAGTAAATACTAAATAAAAACTTACATTTAATACTTCACACAGCTCAACAGTTTTAATTTTTTTCTATTTTTTAGATTTTTTGTATTCAAAATGTTTTTACTTATTTTTTTAGTGCCAAAATTATTCACAAAAATCAAAAAATTTTGTACACAAACCCAACTGGCATATTTCATGCGTTGCCAATTATTTTCAAACGTGATCCGTATCGTTTCAGCAAAGATGATTCAGATCATTGAGCGGATCATATTTGCTGAAACGCAGCTTATGTTAAATTAATTAGGTTTAGTAATTTTTCACTTATAATCGTTAACGGACGGACAGACGAATTATTTATCAGAAACCTACTATAAAAACAAATTAATTAATATAGCAATCGTTAAAAACTAAATTAATATAATTAAATGTATCAATAAATAATGAATATTAAAAGAGCAGAAATAAAATAGTAAAATGCTACCAAAAACTGATGATGCTGTTTTGTTTATGAATTTCTTTAATATTAATCAATTCAATTCCGTGTAAGCACATAAAATATAAACAATCTAGACATTGTGGACAGATTCAATGTTATACACAAAATATTACCAAAGAAGTGATTTGTTATAAAATTAACTAAAAAGTACTTGATATATTTAGATAAAGCACTTAAGTGCTTTATACATCAGTTTTTGGATAGTTTTGTCGAGGTTATAAGTGTCGAGGTGATTTGTGAAGACAATAATATTTTGTTTAATTCTTAAAATCGCTAATATGTATTTGGACCTTGCAGATTAAATATAATAAAATTTTTTTATATTATACAAAGTGTATTTTTTTTACATGTTCGCTGCCAAAAACATAGGATGCTTAAAAATTAGCATGCAAAGCAAAAAAAAAATGCGCTCAAATAAGGCCACCTTCCCGAAAGGGCTTAACGAATAAGCCCCTCGCACTACAATGATACCAAAACTTGACTGATTTGAAACAAAAAGTAAAACTGCACTCAGCTTTTTAATATTTACAACTGTTGCAAGTGTTAATGAGTAAATTTAAATATAGGCGTTTTCGATGGTGATTTTCTCTATCAATGCCAATAGTTGTATACTGGCCACACACTTCGGTCAGTAAAGAAAAAATGTCACCAACGATATTCCAAACATGCAAAATTTGATGCTCCTCCTAGGAGTTTAAGGATAAATATATATTCATTTTAATTTATATTAACTAATTATTTTTATATAAAATGTAATTTGCTTGCATTATGTGCAAGCATTCGTTGACAGATAACTGAAAAATTTGGATGCACTTGATTCGAAAAACATTCAGACTGAGAAAACCTTACTTAAAATTGTATTAAATAATTATAAAGAGGTTTTTCCGAACAGTAGTAAACTACAACAACAAACATTTTATTTTTTATATTATTTTAATTAATTGAATTTTTAACAATTTTACTTGCTGTGTTTATATTGGAACGAAATCATAAACCAGCTGTAGAATAATTAAATTAATTAGTTAATTATATTTTTATTTTTAATTGTTAAATTTCAAACTCCAACTCACTCATGTTTCTAAACCAGATTTTTCTAATGAGCTGGAGCTATCAAATATTTCAAATATTTGGTCAATGCGCCACTCTCTTTGAATTCTTCTTATTTCACCAGTTTTCTCTGTTATTATAGATAAAGCCTAAAAAAGTATACTTTTATATAAGTTCAAAAACATGCAATATAATATGCTCATCAATAACTTTTTTGTATTATTCATTTTATATATGTATATTTATATAAAAAAAATTTTTATAGAATTCAACCACAAATTTGTTAGCTGTTTATTGGTTTAGACAGTGATACCAAGTATTCTTAAGAATCAAAAGTGGTTTTATTGCAGCGATCATGTTAAAAGAATTTACCTTTTTTCATTAATTATTTACATATTAAAAAAAAATTCTTTAATAAAGTTTTGAAGGTTTTTTTATCAAAATTACAAAGCTACGGTATACGCACTGTTGTTTGAGTTGGCAGCACTAACGACAAATTATACTTAGTGGCAGCATTACAAAACGGTGGCAAGAAATTAATTTTTGACATTTTCATTCAGTCGACATAACTTCTGTAGACTTGGCTATACGGAGGAACAAAAGTGGGGAATGTGAGTTGTGCGCTGTGTATAAAACACACGGAAAAGTTGTAATAAAAATTATTACTATTTAATTAAAAAAAATAATTTACTTTAATTATATTATATGTTTGATTAAATAATCGCATTGCATACGAATTCATTTATAACTGTAAAGTGAACAAAAAAGTAGAAGTGATGGCGAAAATATTGGTAAGTGGATTAGATTGCCCATAAGAAAACTAGAATAGGTAAAAATAGTAAAATATAAAGAAATAAAAGAAGAGAGACTAAATAAATACTTTTATTTGCGGATCCTTATAATTACTTCTGTCGTGTTTTACAAAACCAACAACTTGTCTAGTAGGATATGACGCCTGATTGATGCCCACTGCTGTTGTTGCAGATTTGGATTCTGTGTTAACTTTTTTTAATTTCGTTTTAGTGATATAATTGTGTTCTATTAAATCTAAAAAAATATGTGATAAAATAAGTTCATAATAAATTCATAATTTTTCTTCATTTTGATGCTTATTTGCACACATTTGCAAATTTTATTTTTATTTGCAAAATTAAAATATTTTTACCAAAAAGTGAAAGGTCGCTGAGTTGTGCTTCAATTTCCATTCTTTTATGCAAAATTACCAATATTTTTGTTTTAACATTTTGCATACACGAAAACTTTTTCAACACAAAACACTTGTGCTGAGCTCTGTTAATAACTTAGCCATTGTGAAAATTAATGTCGTTCTAATAAGAATAAAGGGAAAAACTTTAATCTGCCGCTAAAATATGTCGCAATCTTATTTTTATAATTGGTTTACGCTTTGTTTTTTTTTCTTTCATAAATAAAAACCAAGCATTTGACCCTCATTGTTTTTTTTTTGTTTATCCGATCCGTTAGTGCTTTTAATTTCTTTAACTGCTGTTTTTTTTATAAATATTTATTTATTTGTTTTGTTGAATCAAGAAAAAATATCTGTTAAAACAAGTTTTTATGATGAATTTTTGCTGTTGCTAAGGTTTCAAATACTCGGTGCTGAAGTTATGCAATCGAATATTGAACCGAGGATAACTCTTCATTCTGGCCTTCAACGATATCCATCCAGGATGTTTGAGAATTTTGAAATATTTTAATGTATTTGCTAGTGCAATCAATTTGCAATTTTATGTAAATTAATTGTATTTAAAGTTAATTAAAGAGTTAATCAATTAATTAATGTGTCTGTAATGAGGAATGCGTCCAATTCCATCTGCGTTACATTTTTAGCAATGACATATCTCAAATTTTTTCAATTATTTTAATTGTATATCAACAATTGTTCATCAACAACTATTACCAACAAAACTAAATAATTGAGTTTATTATACATTTATTTAATCTGACTTTATACCCTTTTGCAAGATTAATTAATCTTGCAAAATTTTAATTAATCTTAATTAATCTTGCAAAATCGTTGCTTTCAAGATTGACTTGTACACAGCTTCGTTTTGGAGGACGTTTAGGGTTATTGAAAATATACGAAGGACGACTCAGCACAGGTGATGCGGTGCCAGTGATATTAGCCAGTCATATGTTATATTTTTTTCGATCTTTACTCGAAAAGATATATTGATTAAACGAAATGTTTCTGTCTATCTTCTCAATTTTGCTATATAAGTTAGTGTCTTAATATTAACAATAGATAAATCGATAGATTTAACATAAAAATTTTTCGAAATTAAATCTTAATTTATGGCTTCAAGAGGTTATCTATTTAGTTTGTTATCACTGTAATATCCATGTATAATAGTGCACTTTATCATATAAGAAAATTATAACTGTATATTCGCATCTATCCTAAAGGTACCTTTGTAATTGAGACATTAAATCCAATATTGTTAAGGTCTAAACTTGCAAAAAATAATCTCATTGTCTTAAGGCAATTATGTGTCAATATTGAAATGTCCATAGTATAAATAAGGGAACACACTGGAATTCAAGGAAATAAAATGAAGATGAATGCATTTTACTCCCAAATGTTTTCCTATATCGATTGACATTCCAAATTGGTTGTGCTGACTTAAATAATTGCAATAAAATTCATACTATAAAATTTTTAAGAAATTTATTTAAAAATTGGTCTGTTGTAATAATTTAATTATAAATTGAACTTTGAATTGCTTCCCCAGTCGGCTTATTCCACAGTTGTGGCACATAACATGAAGTAGCTGTTTGTAAAATTCAAAAATATGGTTACGGGAAAAGATGTTACAGGATTTCATTTGAATGAAGAAGTAGTCAGAATTCCATTTTTACGAAAAATCATTAATATATGGTACGGAGGTAGACGTAACAATATGCTCTTGCTACTTGCTATTTATTTGTCTGAAATGCAAATAAAGATATATATTGCTTATCATATTTTATTATCATTGACATTAACTTCTCTCGTTTGGAACTCGCAATCTTGCTTGCCATGGGATTTGATTCCAATGTAGTTGCCACAGAAATTGAAATTTGCATAAATTGCAAATAGAATTAAAAAATGGTTATCGTATCATAGTAATTAGTGTAGAATGTTACATGAGTACATATATCTATAAAATATATAAATCACATAAACATAACTTACTTTAATGTACTAAAATTCTTTCTGTTTGCTAATTTCAATTTTAATGAATGGAATAATTCATCATAAAATTAATTTTAATCAATTAATGAACGGAAAGAATTTTCCATTCAATAATTTAAAAGTGTGTCAAAATATTATGAATTTTTATTTATACATAAATTGCATGAATGTAATATTTTAATTTTGACCTACATATTTATAAAAGTTCATTGTGATTCTATTTTATTTTTATGTAAAACACATTAAATACTTCTTAAGTATTGAAGTCAATCTTTTTTATTATTATATTAAATGAATTTCATCTCTTCTCTCTATTGAGATTTTTCCAGTGTACTGTAATAAAAAACGTTATCCAATATTTTACAGTACATATATAAAAGTTAATATTTTAATATAACATTTAATTTAAACTAATTATTAAATAATATTTCTTATTATTAAATAATTATAATTTAATTTTATTGTTATATAAAATAATTATAATTATTTAGTAATTATAATTAAACTCTTATATATGAAATTCTTATTATAACATATGACCTACATAATGATAATTTTTTTATTTATATGTAGATAATATATTACGGATGTTATCTAACAAGATTTCTAAACCCAATCAATTTTGAGGTAGTAAATCTTAAATTGTTTGCTCTAAAGTTTAATGCTTAACTTACCTTGATTTTATTCAGTTTCATTGTTTAAGTAAGTCCGAAAAGTATTAAATGATATAATCGCAATAGTTGTGATGCCCGTTTTTTATTATTGTGATCATTGAATATTCTTTGATAGTAACGGAAACTGTCAGGACTGTAGGCGTTAGCTACTCGGCATTCAAAGAAAAAAATAAAGAAGGTTCGATCTCCCCGTTAATATTTCAATATTGACTCGAACAATTACTGTTTCTGATCTCAGATTACTATCATTGTTAAATATTAAAGGAATATAGATAACTGATGACCAAGAATTTACACTATATTGCGTTTCTTCATCACTTCAGCGCAGTTGCAATTTTCATTGATAATTCAATAGCCCTAAAATAAAAACTAATTAAACTCTTTTTTCAAGTACAAAATAACTCATAGTTTTGGTATTGAAGTAAAATTGCTTTTAAGCTAAGTTATTAAAATTATATTTAAGATCTTGTTGTTTACATTATAGTCTTCTCGTTGGATTATACAATTTAGTTTTAATCTACCATTGTTATAGTATATTCACTTACTAACAAATGTATTCAATTAATTTAAAAAATAAAGACATATCATATTGATTAAAGTATTTTTTCCTTCATTTAGCATTTCCATTCTGCGATAATTAAAAATTCTTTTCAAATATTTTGTTTTTTTATTTTATTTATTTATTTTTATTTCGATTTTGGGAAAAATCAAATTGACTGATTATCTTATCCTTATCTTAAATAAAGTCGGTGGAATGTGTGTTTGGCATTAAAAAAATTAAATAAATTTGATAATACCATACTTTTATAGGCGTAGTCAGCAATTGCAGTACGGGAAGAGGGGAAGTGGGGCTAACGAACAGTTTTTGTTATTTAAAGTTACATTTTCTGTTATAGTTATATTTAAGTAAATTATTTTCACACTCTGACATTTTAAGAATTCCTTAAATAAACTCTAAGGAACAAAAATATGCCCATACTTTTGCTATTGATGAATCAGATTGAAGAGATATATACCAAATGAGCCTTCGTTTGATAGAGGCGGACATATGGCTACGTTCCATACAAAACATCATCTCTAAGTGACGCACATGGTTGCATATAAATTTTCACTTTGATAATGAAGTCATCATAATGTGACTGTTGTTTTTCGAAGACTTTAGACTCTCTCACTGCCATTAAAACATTAATTATCAACGAAACAATTTGTTTTGATTTTTTGTTATACTTTCTTATCAGCAATTGCGAAGTATCTTTTTATAAATTAAAATACGTATTTTAGAGTTCGAATATTTGAAAAAAAATAACGTTTTTAGTCTTAGAAAAATAAATCACTTTTAAATTGTAATTACATTTTTTAAATATTCAAAAAACGATAACTACCAAACCATATAGAAGTTTGTTATATTAAATTTATTTTAATAATAATATTTGTTTAACAACTACTTTAACATTCCTCAGCATATTAAACACATGATCAGGCACCGAAACAGAGTCCGTAAATTTGCCCAGATTACTGGAGATCCGGAAAGTAAAAGAGAGGCCAGGCGCCTATCAAAGGAAATTAGAAGAAAGCTTGGCATCTTCAGAAATGAAAACTGTGATGAATGGGCTTGTTAGGGCTTGAAGCCGGTAATAAATCCTTCTGACCCATAAACAAATGCTTCAGACTGAAACGCAAATGGCCAATGCCCATCATCGAACGGTTCAGATGATACAGTCAGCCCTAAGCAGAAGAGAATCAACGGGTATGTTTACATTTGACATCGCTAAGGCATTTGACAAGGTCTGGCACGACGTGCTGATAGTTAAAATGTCTCGTTTTGGTATCCCAGTTGGACTAATCAAAATCCTCGGCAGCTTGCTGCGCGAGAAGTTGTTCTGTGTAAGAATCAACAGTACCATCTCGTTAGTGCGCAGAATAG